TATCCCCACTATGTTCAAACAATATTTCCACATCTTAACTCAACCTGAAAGGAGGATGTTTTACACGATGATTTTATCCCCACTATGTTCAAACAATATTTTATTGTTTGATGATTTATTGGTTTGATGGTTTATTGATGATTTTAAAAACAAACAACCTCTCCCCTCCTCCACCTCCTAAATCAGTTGCACTGAACAGTGCCACAAAATCCTTATGTTATGTTCAGTACTTCTGCTCTTGTGGCTGGAATTTAAGAGATGAGGTATTATTTTTACATACACACACACACACATATATGTATATTATGTATATGTATATATCTCAAACTCTTTTTAGGCTGCCCTGGTGCCTGCAAAGGATGACTTGACAGATCTTTTTAGAACAGGCACAAGAAAAATTTCCCTGACTAAACCCAAAGTGAGTCCACTGAAATAAGTGCTTACTTTTCTGCAATAGTACCAACTCTCTGCTTATTAAATTTAGCTAATTTTGAAGCTGAAAAGTAGAAAGCATAGCTCCTACAGTAACTTTCAGTGTAAATGCTTCATTTATTTTTTCCAGAGCAGACTGAGCATTCCAATTTAGTTTTGGTGATTTTCATTCAAACAGTTCAACTAAAGTACCTTCTGGAATTAGCAATTGGTTACTGAAATGGCCTCATGGGTTCTCTGGTAATTTCAGAAAATATTTTAGTCAAGCTGTTTGACTGGAATGCTTAACTTGTCTTATAGGTGGATAATGAAAGTGAATTTTAATTTAGTCTTGCATGCATACTTCAAAAAGAGAAGTATAAATTAAAAGGAACTGCTGTTCACTGGTGATCTGTGGAAGTCAAAGCTTTACTATCCCACTCCAATTAAAAGAGCTCAAGTCAAGATTTATAAAGATCTAATGCAAATAATCTAATGTAAGTATCTAATAAAAAAAAGTAACAAGGAGAGTAATTTCTTGGTCATCCACCAAAAGGAAACACTTATTGTAGCTCTACTAATGATTTCACAATATGTAATATTCCTCCAGAACATTTTTATCAGACTGACATCTGTTAGTTTGTCATCTACTTTTAGTCATTAAAGTCAGTTGAGACTTTGGATAAGAATATACATTTTCATATTGCTGGAAGGTGAGCTTTGCTTTTTAAAAAAATACTGTATCAGCTCCTGACTAACCATGTGGAACGACCAAATAAGCTTTCATACTATACCATTACTGTAAGAACATATAGCCTCTGAAACTTAAAAGAGACTGCCAGTTTTTATGTTTATGGCCATTTATTTTACATTTTTTCCTCCCCTTTGTCTCTTGATTCAGCAAATGAAGGTACAGGATGAGACACTAAAGCCAAGTGAACAAAGACAGAGAGAGACCATGAGTTTGTTAGAAGCAACCCAAGGTATGTTTCTGCTAATTACAAAGGTCTAATTTCCTAAACCTGTACATGATTCAATTCCCACATGAGAAATAAGCTATATTCGAAAGGCCAAGAAACTGCCTCCCTCATAGAGGCCTCTATTAATTTAACATGTTCAAGGCTCACCCTAAGCTGAAAACTTTGAGAATGCAGTAGGCAGACTTTTAAACAGAAGTGGTACCATGTTCCACTCTCCCACATTCTCTGTCTGCCAAATAGCCTCACAGTATAAGCCAAAGAGCTTTGAAGATTCAAATGACATTGTATGACTTTGGAAACCATCACCGCTGAGGTGGTTTCTCCCTCTGCCAAGGTGGCTGTAGCTTTATTAGCTGAAGACCTCAAGCTGTGTTGGCCTACAGTACATATACAGAAAAGACAGCTGCAAAACACGCACTGAGAAGGCAAACCTGTAATTAGCAGTCCAGGTTAAAGTTTTTCTTTGATGACAAGTTTGTTATATCGTTACAGGTTAGTAACATTTGCTTGGCTTCCTCATCTGACTTCCCCTTGACCCTTGAGGGATCTGCAATTTCATAGCATTGAGTACTTAGTCAATATTATAATGTCATGGACAAGTTTACTACCTGAAATACAGGTATGTAAACACGCAAAAAAACCCAAACCAAAAAAAAAGCCATCAATCATACAATCATAATGTACAATCATAATTAAAGCATCACTATACACAGCAATTCTAACATTTATAAACATTGCAATAGAATCTGTTAATAAAACCAATGACGGGTCAGGAAGATAAAGAGGTTAAATTCCTTAATTCCTTACTGGAACAAAATCATGCAAACTGAATACTGAAATGCAATGCAATTATACCTTCACCAAGAGAAAATATTCAATTCCCCTTTATGAGGAACATGAAAGAGAAAGCAGATGATATTCTGTGCTACAAGGAAGACAGCTCCACATCAAAAGTCAGTGGGAGGGTATGTTTTGTTTGTGGATCACAGAAAAGGTAAAGTACACAGAAAAAAATCAAAAACAAACAGAAAAAGATTACAGTTGTAAGCAAACTACGTTTATATTTATTTCTTTGAAGCTCTACTTAATGCTACTCTAGCCCTACACAAAGACTGAAATTCTTTATGGCTTGCACAATCAGGCAACCCTCATGCGGCTACAATACAGCTGCACAGTGTATGTGTTAGTCTCTCTCTCCCACCTCTCCTTCTTTCCCAAATGCATTAAGATCAAAATATAGAGTTCTAAAGTATGATAGGAGCCAAGATTGTACCATCAACATCGCAGTATTTCTAAATATCTAAATCTAATGTTAAGAAGAAAAAAATACACTCAGAAAGCTAGGTTAAAAAAATAAAGCTCAAAGATGCTTACATATCACTTTCCTTCTGTCATGAGATATGTGGATATAATAACTATGATAAAATAGTAAATCTTCAGACGACATTGCATTTAAAGTAGCAAGTTTTTTAAACCTTGTCTTGCATGGAGACCATCTGTCTACAGTGAACACTTACCTCATTCACAACCTTTATGCCTTAAATAAATTATAGGATCACAGAATCATAGAATGCTTAAGGTTGGAAGGGACCTCTAGAGATCATCTAGTCCAACCCCCCTGCACGCGCAGGGTCACCTAGAGCACGTGGCACAGGACTGCGTCCAAGCGGGTTTTGAAGATCTCCAGAGAAGGAGACTCCACAACCTCTCTGGGCAGCCTGTTCCAGTGCTCTGTCACCCTCACTGTCAAGAAATTTTTCCTTAAGTTCCTGTGGAACTTTTGGTGCTTCAGTTTGTGGCCATTACCTCTAGTTCTGTCAGTGGCCACCACTGAAAAGAGGCCAGCACCATCCTCCTCACTGCCGCCCTTGAGGTACTTATAGACACTGATCAGGTCCCCCCTCAGCGTTTTCTTCAGGCTGAACAGGCCCAGCTCCCACCCCAATAGATCCCATTGGCCTTCCTGGCTACGAGGGCTTACTCAGGGTGCCAGCTGGTATATCTGAACAACTGACAGAGGCAAACACCCAGATTTTGTTTTGCATTCTGCCTGAGCCTTTTATGACACTCTCCCATCCTATGTTACAAAAACAGCCAAAGGAACAACAAGAACAAAAAAAGGCAAAACAAACAAACAAATAAACAAAAAAAAAAAAAAAAAGGAGAACCGTCAGGATGCCATATCATCAGCAGATACCATCATTTTTTCTGAAGGCCAGGAGAAATTAAACCAGCACCAGGAGAGTCCTGTTCTGCAGACACCACTGTAATGCTACACAGAGAGCTGTGCATGGCTCCAGAGCTTCTCTTTAACCAGTCTAGGACTAGACCAAAACCACTGTCACAAGGAACTCCACAGCAGGTGCCATTACCTTTCCTATGTACCACCTATGAACATCTCTAAAGAGACGCTTTTCTTCCAGACCAGGGTTTTTATTCCAAGTCATGTTTCATTACTTTTCAATCTACTGCTGCCATCTCCTGTGTTAAATGAAGCAGCAAGTAACTCCATACTTAAAGCAGGCTATTTAACTTTGAACATATGGGAATGGTTTCTCTTGGTCAAGCGCAGACAATTCTATCTAAACAAACTTCATTTTTTTTTTTTTAAGTTACCATTACCTCCAAGTGACTCCGTCGTTCCGCAATCACTCGTTCATCCTTGTTTCCAAAGAGCTTCTTTGGAGGAAATTCTAAAGTAGCAAGCTAAAAAGCATAAAAGAGTGAATCAGCACCATAAATGACAAGCTCAAATGAGAAAATTCTCTTTCAGCTATGAAGTGACTGAGAAGAAAATGCCAAATATTCACGAGCTACAGTACATGCTATTAGCAAAGATTACATTATACATTTCTGCTGACATTATTACAATCTGGTCTGTAGTACTGCTAGAATAACAACACATTTTGTCATAAACGAGCAGCAGAAAACATATTTAGGAATTAGATTGTTGCCATTTACCCACATAAAAATCACAAAGTTACAAACTGAACTTAATGTTATAACACCTGCTAAGAAGTAGGAAAGGATCTCTCCAAGAATTCTGAATATTTTAACAGATCACACTCGGCCTCTTAAAGAACTTTGGCCTCCAACTATTCCATCACTTAACTTGCTTGTTCTTTTCCTACACTGTCTCATAAATATCACACCACTGGATCCAAGAACTGTCACTGAAATCACGCTCTGCAAGATAATGATGCTGGACTCCAGGCGACACCTTCACAGAACTTGAGGGGTTTTCACCTTTAGACTGGTCCCTTAGACTAACCTACCCTTCTGCACAATATGCAAAGACTAGAAGTAGGCATGCGCAGTGTTAATGGCAGCTAAGATCAAAAGATTTATGTGAGTTGTAAAGCAACTGCAACTCGATAACATTTACATTTGCACACCTAATGGAAGTTGATATCTCTGATTTCTAAAAAGAATTCACGTGAGCTGGTAAATTCTGTTCATCACATTGAGATTGAAAAAACAGCACAAGCAGAATTCCTAAAAATGACTATTTAGACCTGCCTTTTTTGGAGCTCATCTACAGAGTTGCTCAGAATTGTCCTCTTGTTTCTTTTTCATCCTGTTGAAATGGCATTAGGTAACAATAGTAAGAGACAAAGTGAGGGAATTGTATTCCTTCCTTGAGCAGCAGGAAACAAAATGTTTGAACAAATTCCAGCCAGTTCTATCTGGGAAAACACACCAAAGACTCAAGGGTCAGTAACAAGCACCAATGGTGGGACAACCTGTCCTGCTAAACCATTGCTGTTGGGAATGATGCACAAGAAGGCAAGTCCTCTCCACGTAGCTTATGTTTTCACTTAAAGACAGCTCAAAAAATCATTGCATTCTAGCTCTCACATTGTATGAGACACAAATATGTAACCTCCTATCTGTATTCCTGGAGCTATTTTGCAGGCAGAACCTCCGTGTAAAAATGTTTTTTGCATGTACTGCTTGGGCTATCGAAGCTACTAAGATCATAAACAATAGCTATCATTCTTCTAGCATACCAGCATTCACAGATTCGGAGAGAATTTATGACTGGTTACAATAAATGGAAGTAAACTGAGTTAAATGAGGAGCTTAATTATTAACACTGAACGTAGGCATGCTTAAAGAACAGAGAAATTCTGGAGTAAAAGTACTTTATCCTTATTCTTTGGTTTATCTCTGATTTGAATAATATTAAAGATATGTCTAGACTTCTTCAAAAGAGTGATATAAAATGATGTGGAATATCAGAGGAGGTAGAAGATATCCCTGTTCTGCTTCAGTCTTACTAGCACGTGCCAATTATATTCCACAAATTTCTCCAACCATATTCTTCTCTGCTTGCTTCTTCTGTTCACAGGACAAAGAGGATACAGCAAAACAGGAGCCTATTATTAGGTCCTTCACACCTATTTTCACTGCATTACTTGCTCCTTCCTTCTTAACCGATTCAGCAATATTTTTAAGGACTTCAAAATCCCACCCCTGCAGAAATTGTACATTATTAAATAGCACTGAATCATATAGCTGCTATAAAAAAGGTAAAACAACTATGACCACAATAACCTCCCAGCTGTAGGGA